CATCCATCCATCCATTCATCATCCATCCATCATCCAACCATCCATCCATCCATCCATTCATCATCCAACCATCCATCCATCCATTCATCATCCATCCATCATCCAACCATCCATCCATCCATCCATTCATCATCCAACCATCCATCCATCCATTCATCATCCATCCATCATCCAACCATCCATCCATCCATCCATTCATCATCCAACCATCCATCCATCCATTCATCATCCATCCATCATCCAACCATCCATCCATCCATTCATCATTCATCCATCCATCCATTCATCATCCAACCATCCATCCATCCATCCATTCATCATCCATCCATCATCCAACCATCCATCCATTCATCATTCATCCATCATCCAACCATCCTCCATCCATCCATTCATCATTCATCCATCCATCCATCCATTCATCATCCAACCATCCATCCATCCATTCATCATCCATCCATCATCCATCCATCCATCCATCCATTCATCATTCATCCATCATCCAACCATCCTCCATCCATCCATTCATCATCCAACCATCCATCCATTCATCATCCATCCATCCATCCATCCATCCATTCATCCATCCATTCATCATCCATCCATCCATCCATCCATCCATTCATCATCCATCCATCCATCCATCCATCCATCCATCCATCCATCCATTCATCATTCATCCATCATCCAACCATCCTCCATCCATCCATTCATCATCCATCCATCATCCTCCATCCATCCATCCATCATCCAACCATCCTCTAGCGATCCATCCATCCAAACATCCATCCATCATCCAACCATCCTCTAGCCATCCACCCATCCACCCATCCATCCATCCATCCATCATCCAACCATCCTCTAGCCATCCAACCGTCATCCATCCATCCATCCATTCATCCATCCATCCATCCATCCATCATCCAACCATCCTCTAGCCATCCATCCATCTGTTCATCATCCAACCATCCTCTAGCCATCCAACCGTCATCCATCCATCATCCAACCGTCATCCATCCATCCATCCATCATCCAACCGTCATCCATCCATTCACCATCTATCCATCCATCCATCCATCCATCCATCCATGACTAGTTATACCAATTTTGCATGTTTATTTTCCCTTTTTTAGGAAAGAGCCCTGAAGGTGCGCACATACTTGGGCAACACCAGTGACACTGAGACAGAACCCGAGAAAACCAACACCACCTTAGCATCACCACAACAGATCAACAGGACCGAATCTGGTCTGGTTGAAACTCTTTCCAACTAAGTAATTCTCTTAATTCTTTTAAATTTCAGACTTTTTAAGCAATCATTTTTTCTACAGTGGAGCAGAACGAGGACACCCTAAAGAGCCGGAGGGTTGAGAAATCCCTTTCCATTATGGACTACTACCAGCATGAGATGTTCTCCCATCTGGAGAAGGACGGCAAGAGGATCTCCCAATACAACCTGTTGCACAAAGAATCCTCGCTGGATGGGAAAGCAGGAGACAGGATCAGTGTAAGTACAGTATTTTAACTGTTACTCATCATTCCTCCTTAGTTTAACAGAACTTTCTGCCTGTTTTAAAGTCAACCTCACCTCAGCAATCCTTCATGAAGCACGAGCAACAACCACACTAAGGTTTTCTGACGTTGTTTACACTCCAAGGTTCTCCGCTCCAGGATTTGCTCCCTGATTTTCCCAAAAAAACAGGCGTAGAAAAAAAAGGCCATCCTAATTGCTTTCGATCGCCTCAGCATCGCGTGTCAGCGGGTATTTGCCTACTAGTATTTAACGTAGCTGAATGACAAATGAGGAGCAGGGAGCATGAAATGGCCTCCAACACTTTACTCACCTACACCGCCGCCACCCCCCCCAGACACCGAACCCCTGACACAAAAATCCATATCCTGCCAGGAAAAAACTCTGACTCAACACAACTTCACTAAGGAAAACAGTTGTGTATGAGAAGCAGTTGGAAGAATTCATGTTGTTGACCTCCAATGTCTTTGTAAAATTGAACTCTAGATCACGACATTGATGAAAAATTAGTTTTTATTTATAATATCTGTAATATTATTTGAAGAAGAATTAGTTACAATGCAAATATTATCCAAAAGTTTCTAATAAGTAAACTTTATACAGGTCATGTTAAGCAGGATATTGACATTTTTTTTATTATATTGAAATATTTTAAAACAACAAAAATATAGCACTTGTAAACGTATAAATAAGGGACATACATGTTTTTATTTATAAAATAGATTCTTTATATTTTAAAGGTTACATTTCAAATTTTTAAGGGACTTTTTCACATTTCAAATTTGGATTTTTTTAAAGTTTTAACGTTTTCTAGAAATGTATGGATATAATATTTTATGAATAAATTTTGGGGAATTGATTAAATATACTTTTAAAATAACACACATCCCAATTATTATTCAGGCTCGTCTCATAATATTATGTTGAATGGCTGTACAGTAGTTTTATATGTAACATTTTCAATTTACAATAAAAAAAAGTACAGAATTTTTGCCAATAAAGCAATTAATTCCATCTTAAAATTGCTGACCAGCTTTTAGCATATGTTCTCGAATGATGAGCTCAAGGAATCAGAGCTAATCATCCTCAGCCTCTTTCAGATTACAGTCAGGATTTAGGTTTGGGCCACCACGTAAATTTGAATTAAATTCAGAAGAAACAAAAGAAAAAAAGATCTAAAACCTCAAACTGCTAGAGATGTGAATATTTTGGGGGGAAAGTTGTACTTTGACTTGTCACATTTATCCCAGAGACATATTAGGCTAAAAGAAAACATATAATTTTAAGACTGATGTACTGCTTTGAGGAGCATCTAGACTAGAGTAACACCAGTGATCTATAGGAGTACTTTCTTTGTAAAAAAAAAAAAAAATAGTGGCAACAGCAGGTGGCTTACTGATTTCATTTGAGATAAAAACGCTGCTGAACAAGTCAGTTTTGGCTGAGATATTTGATCAAAGGGAAGACAATCACAGTATGGCCTTAATATGTTGTGTCTAGGACAGAAAAAATTAAACACAAAAAGACAGGGTAAAATGTTTTCCATTAAGTCATTTACAGGGAAACTTTGCTAGATGCTCCCTGACATGAATAAGTCTCAGCTGAACAGAAATGTATTGGCAGGTAGTACCTCTGTTAATAAATAGACAGAGAAAATAACAAGGGAGAAAATAGGCTATTTGAAAGTGCTGTAAGAAAGTAACGCAGTAGAGAAATGAGAGAAAGCGGGCATGTCCTCCAGCAGAATAACCCTATAGTAGCATAACTGCAAAGAGAGCTGAAGATAGTGGTTGGTTGAAGATAACTGGATTAGTAGAGCAATTGATTTCTGGAATGAACAGGGCAATAATAGCAGTCTAGAACTAGTGCAATAAGAAATAAAAGGTGCAAGAATGTAATAATACAAGGATAAAGGAACAGTTAGACAGTGATGTGTAATAACAGGGTAAACCATTACGGTTTTGGCTGAACCAGTATGTAATAACAGAAATAAAAAACAATAATCGAGTAATAAAAACAAATGAATATGAAGCATAATTAATAGTCCAGTTTAATTAATACTGTTATATTGTGGAATAATAGTAGTATATCTATTTCAGTGTGATCACAAATAATATAATAAAGACAGTAAGAGTCTAACAAAACTCATCAGAGATAATGATGTATAAATAAATAGGCATTTAATAAAAACGGAACAGGAGAACAAAATATTGAAAATAGAATATTAAAGGAACCGTTAATAAAAGTCATATTGTTGCAGTTAAAGTAATTAAATGGAATAATTGAGCAATTACTCAATATTAAAGCAATGAAGTTGTAATTAAACTGTAATAACCTGTCATTAGTGTAGTAACAGTACCTTTAGATGTACAACTAGATAAATGTTGTAAAACACCTTTTCAGCTTAATGGTCCTACCCATTTCAGCCAAAAGACTGTCTTGTGTCTTACTCTAGAGTTATTGTTTACCAAAGTAAAGAGACAGCATCTGAATTGCAAGAGTCTTGTTTTGATCCCAGCTGAGGGCGTCTAACAGGAAGCTGGATGCGGCGCTGTGTAACCGAGCTGTAGGGACAGGTCTATTAGCAGCAACCAAAACAACAAAGGAAAGCTGTTGAGTCTGTCTTATCCTCACACCCGTCTGTGGTTTAATTGGATGTGCTGAGCTGCTTGTGCGGACTTACAGTGCTTAGAGGGTGTCTTCTAAGCTTTCTGCTGAATTTTTATTTTTATTTTTTATAGAATGGGTAAAAAAAATCCCTCGTTGAGATAAGTTTGGTTTTATTTTTCATGTTGAAGCCCAGTGAGCCGTTGAATTAAAAGTATAGAGTCACTGATATTTCTGGCATTAACCTAATTCCCTAACTGTGAATGAACCGTAATGATGGATGACTGCCGCTGAACTCGTTTACCCTACATTATCATTGTGAAAAAGACAATCCATCCGCCTGTCATCCGTCCCCCCAGGTCGGGCGCAGCCGTACCTGCGCGTCCGTCTCCTCTCCTCACCATTGTTGCCGTTCGCGAGGTTTTGACTCCGGAGACGCCGCAGTCGGCTCGGGTCTGGGGAAGTTCGGCGGCTTTCGTGGAGCAACTGTGATTTAAGCGCCTTTAATAACCTTTCACAAACACTCAGGAGAGTGATGTAAAGCTCAGCGTCTCCCATCAGGGCCCTCACAGCCCACGCTGGCCTCCCATTCATCATCCTGACAACACCTGACAGCCCTGCTAACGGCGGCCCCCGCCTCCCTTTCCTCCTGTCCCCCCAGTCCCTCTTTTTCCCACATGTCTCACTCTTTCTTTTGCCTCTTTCTATTTAGCTGTTTTCCCTCCCACTTGACTTCTGCTCTATACCGATTTCATTTTTCCCGCCATTTTTCTTCCCTCCTTTAAATCCATAGATTATCACCATGACAGGATGATTAGTACTGCAGGTGAAATACAAAGCATTACCGATCTCTACCAAGCTTTTAATAGCTCTTTTTGCAACCTTTCACAGCATCTCCTTAGGTGTAGTAACGAAACAAACATTTCTTTTGACAAGCAATTTGATGAAGTTTGGAGCAGGGATATGGGGTACACAAAATAGTATTTGTGAGCGAATAAATTCCAGCAGCAGGAATATTCAGAAACCCATTTATCGCTGTCAGAAAACCCATAACAGAAAGTAAGAAAAACAGCGGTAATGCTCAATCACGCTAGGCTACAATCAGCACAGTGATGCCAGAAAGGCGACGCACTCTTTGAGCCAGTAAATTATGTTTACATCTTAAAGGCTTTTCATTTTTGTTGGATGTTCTTCAGAAAGCTTAAACAGGAAGTGGAAGGAGATGATGCCCTATGTTATGGAAGTTTGATCGGTTAATGTTTCCCTAATCTGCCCATATATTATAATAAAAGGTTTGACGCTGAATTCAAAAATAAAAATGGAGTGTTGTCTATTTGAATTGGTAAAAAAATGATTCTTCTGTGTCAGATTTCAGGCCTTGCTTCTAGGTTTTCAATCAGAGCTTTTCCATTTTTTGTTAGCGTCTAGCTAAAACCCATTTGTTTCGCTCTATGATAAACTCAAAAGCTTCTGCATCAACAAGAGTTTTTGTGTGGGCGATGCACTTTGATACCACAAACCAGGCATAAGAAAACAATGAAGTTGTTTTTTTTTTCACTGAGAGCTAAAAGATACGCTACATTTTGCTAACATCCCCTGCTCCCCTTTTACTCAAGAAGCTAAAAGATAGACTCAATCGAAGCCCAAAGAGTCCCTAAACGACACTTATGGCTTTTGTCCAACCTGAACTCATTAGTTTATTATTTAGAGAATTAAAGGCCTCTAAAGACCCGCTTATAGCTAGTTAGCTACAATAGCTATAAGCTAGTTAGCTACTAGCCTATAGCTAAATTTATTGAGCTAGCTAAATTCAAAACCCATTTTGGATTAATGTTTTTGGAAATAATCTGGACCGTCACACAATTTAGCCTGCCCTCAATTGCACAAAAAGGCGTATAATTTTATTAAGTAGCGGTTGTTGTTTTAAAGTGTACAAAGTTGCTACAATATCAAAATAAATAGGAGCAAAGCAACAAAACCACAAAAATGTGTACGTGAAAGGCTTAATGATGAAGCAGCCTGATATAGAAATGAGTTAGAGTGTTTTGCATGCTATAACACATCAGGGAAACATTAAAGCTTCTGTAATATTAACATAAAAACATCAATAGTGTTTAGCATGTTGTTTTCTGATTTTTCTCTTAGTTTTTGCTAGTTTCAGAACATTGGGCTCTAATATAAGATTAATGGCTAAGACTGTACAGCAGGCCGAATAGTTAATAATAATAGTAATAGTAATAGTAATAGTAATAGTTGGTATGCAGAATTTACTTGTATGGTGATAAAAATCGATTTTCCAGCCAGTAATATGTTGGTAGTGTGACATTTTTAAAAACCAAACCATTTCAAATCCCTTTCTATTTTAAAAA